CCTAAACCCTAAACCCTAAACCCTAAACCCTAAACCCTAAACCCTAAACCCTAAACCCTAGACCCTAAACCCTAAACCCTAAACCCTAAACCCTAGACCCGAGACCCTAAACCCTAAACCCTAAACCCTAAACCCTAAACCCTCAGGCCTAGTGCTTACAACGCATTCGAAGTGAAACCATCGGTTGCATGCATCGCAGGCTACCATTTTGATAACTTCTGAGGATGCCTCGCCGCGGAGACAGACGGGGCAAACCCCTTCCCAAGTCTCTCCCCCTAGAGTGTGAGAAGGAGCCTCCTCCTAATCAGCCGAACATATTAATATAATTATTGATAGTATTACTTGTTTTATTTGCTTTGTTTTGTCTGTTATACTAATGCAAGTATATGTATTAATGCTAGGTATTCAAAGGTAAGAGACTTATCAGAGACAGCATATATATATATATATATATATACATATATATATATATATATGTATATACAGACAGAAAGAGAGAGACAGAGAGAGGCAAACAAACAGAGACAGAGAGAGAGTGAGACAGAGGGAGAGACAGAGAGAGAGAGACAGAGAGAGACAGAGACAGAGAGAGACAGAGAGAGACAGAGAGAGACAGAGAGATATACACAAACACAAAGAGAGAGAGATGATGAAGAGCAGACAGCCAGAGAGAGTCAAAAGGAGAGACAAATGAAAGGCAGAGGCAGAGAGAGAGAAAAGAAAAAAGGAGACGGAAAAAGAGACAGAGACAGAAAAAGAGACAGCTGCGATAAGCATTTACTAATGCAGCAGCAGCAGCAGCAGCAGCAGAAGTGCTGCTGCTGTTTGTGGTCTCCTTCGAGGCATCTATAAAGAGAGACAGAGAAGCAAAAGAAAGAAATAACGTACTCTATTTGCTGTTGCTGCTGCTGCAGTTGTTGTTGTTGCTGTTGCTGCCTTGGCCCCTCCCTGCTTCCTCGATGAAGCTGCATGCGCCTTCGCAGGTGGGGGCCCCTGGGGGCCCCCTGCTGCTGCTGGGGGCCCCAATGGTCCTGCTGCTGCTGCTGCAGCACGGAAGCCTTCAGTAGGAGGGGAGCTTGCGCTGCTTGCTGCTGTGCTGCTGCTGGGGTGTCTAGCAAGCAGCAAATTATCTGCTGCCTGAAGCAAACACACACAAGGGATACATCGCCAATAGGCTTAATTATATTTATAAACAAATATATATATATATATATATTTAAATTTAAATATCTATAAAGCAAGAAGAAGCGATGCAATACTCTGCTGCTATTGCTGCTGCTGCTGCTGCAGCTATTGGGACGCTCAGGAGAGCGCAAGGCAGCAAGCAGCAGCAGCAACAGCAGGAACAGCAGCAGCAGCAGCAACAGCAGCAGCAGCAGCAACAGCAGCAACAGCAGCAGCAACAGCAGCAGCAGCAGCAGCAGCAAACAAACATTACCTTCCTTCCTCTGCGAGAATGGCTGGCTCCGTGTGAGGGCCCCTCTGCTGCTGCTGCTCGGGGCCCTGGGGCCCCAGGCCCCACAGCAGCAGAGTTGCTTAGTCGTCCTCTAGCTGTCTTAGAATTGCTGCTGCTGTTCTGCAGCAACAGCAGCAGCAGCAGCAGCAGCAGCAGCAAATAAACCAACAGAAACGTCGCACAGCTTCAGACCAGAGAGGCTAGCAGGCTGAGACTTCAACGGCAGCCGCAGCAGCAAATTAGCAGCAGGAGCAGCAGCAGCAAAATAATAGCAGCAGCGCCTAACAAGACCGTAAGAAGAGCAGCAGCAGCTGATGCTTCCTTCTACAGTTACTCAAGGCACCCATACACAGCACAGCGCAGCACAGCAGCAGCAGCAGCATGAAGAACAGCAGCAGTATCATGAGGAGCAGGAGCAGCAGCATAAAGAGCAGCAGCAGCAGCAGCAGCAGCAGCAGGCGAACCTCTGCTGCTATATCGCTACTCTGAGTGGTAGGCAAAGATGTGGGGCCCGAGTAGCAGCGCGGGTCCTGGAGTTGCTGCTGCTGCATGAACTGCTGCTGCTGCATCGGGTGCTGCTGCTGCATCGGGTGCTGCTGCTGTTGCTGCTGGGCTTGCAACTGCATTTGCTGCTGCTGCATGTGCTGTCTCTGCATCTGCTGCTGCATCTGCAGTTGCTGCTGCTGCTGCAGGTACGTTTGGTGGTGCAGCATCGTTGGGTCGTCAGCGTGCTGCTGCTGCTGCTGCTGCAGCTGCTGCTGCTGCTGCTGCGGCGCTGCAGCAGCAGGCCAGCCACGAGTAGCATGAGAAGCACCTGCAATAGCAATCCCGGTATGAGAACGATCTACGTTGCTGCTGCTGCTGCTGTTGTTGTTCGCAAGTTGCTGCTGCTGCTGCTGCTGCTGCTGCGCTGCTCCCCCTGCTGCTGCTGCCATGCGCTCGCTTCCCCCACGTCTTCTCAAGGCGCTGCTGCTGCTGCTGCTGCTGCTGCTCCCTCCGCCGCCACCGCCTGCATCTGCTGCAGCAGCAGCGGCATCTGCTGCTGCTGTGCTTCCTCCTCCAGCAGCAGCAGCAGCAGCAATCCCCGGGTGCTGCAGCAGCCGCTGACGCTCAGCAGCAAGTGTCTGCTGCTCTGCATGCAAGACAGCAGCAGCATGCCGGTTGATCTCCACCTTCTCTCGCAGCAAGGCTCTGCTCTTCCGCTGCATCTCCTGCAGCAGCAGCAACAGCAGCAGCAGCAATAGCAGCAGCAGAAACAGCAGCAGCAACAACAGCAGCAGCGCAGAAAAAGTGCTGTATTTCAAGCAACAGCCATCACCCTCGATATCGACTTTCGTGTTTACTCCCTAAACCCTAAACCCTAAACCCTAAACCCTAAACCCTAAACCCTAAACCCTAAACCCTACATGTATTTGTCTGAGTTCTTCTTCCATGCCTTCGAAGACGAGGGGGCTCCCCTCGGCCCTCAGCGCCTCCAGACGCCGTAAGAAATGCTCCTCGCGCTGCCTCACCTGCAGCAGCAGCAGCAGCAGCAGCAGATAGCAGTAGAAGCACCAGCAGATAGCAGTAGAAACAGCAGCAGGAAGCAGCAGCAGCAGATAGCAGTAGCAGCAGCAGCAGGCAGCAGCAGCAGCAGATAGCAACAGCAGCAGACAGCAATAGCAGCAACAGCAGCAGAAACAGCAGCAGCAGCAACAGCAGCAGAAACAGCAGCAGCAGCAGATAGCAGCAGCAGCAGCAGCAGAAACAGCAGCAGCAGCAGCAGCAGCAAACCTCAGCAGCAAGTTGATATAGAATACAAATCAAAGAACGGAGGGGAGACAAACAAAACAAACAAAACAAATAAATAAATAAACGCAGCAGCAGCAACAAAGCAGCAAACATTATAAGCAAAGAACAGGAGAAGAGCAGCAGCAAATAAACAAAGAGAGACAGCTTCTACTCGTACTTGCATCTCTATTGCTGCACTTGCTGCATCCAGCTGAGCCATCAGTCGCAGCTCCCGCTGCAGCCGAGCAGGCAGAGACAGCGACTCCTCCAACCACTGATCTATAGGGTCAGCCATCTTCTGCTGCTGCTGCTGCTGCTGCTGCTGTTGCTGCTGCTGTTGCTGCTGCTGCTTTGTGCATGTCCATACACCAGGGGACACAACGCAGAGACTTTTAGCTGCTGGGGGTTCTGAAAAGAGCAGCAGAGTCTGCTGAGGGTTGATGCTGCTGCAACTTAATGCTGCAGCTCTCTGATATTGGAGCAGCAGCAGCAGCTGTTGCTGCTGCTGCTCTCAGATGCTGGTGCTGCAGCAGCTGTAACTGCCGCGGCTGCGATTGCTGCGGCTGCTGCTGTTGCTGTCTGCAAATGCTGCTCACTCGTGCTTATGCTGCAACTGCTCCTTGGGTGTCTGCTGCTGCTGCTGCTGCCTGTGTGTCTGCTGCTGCTGCTGCTGCAATGATGTACAGTATGCGGTGTTGCGGGGGCCCCCGGGGGCCCCTCTAAGCCCTGGAGGACCCTGTAGATCGAGGGGGCCCCTGAAGATAGTGGGGGGGTCAAAGAGGTAAGAGAAGCCTCTGAAAAGGAAGCAGCAGCTGCTGCTGCTGCAGCAGCAGCGGCTGCAGCAGCAGCTGCAGCAGCAGCAGCGAGATTCGGCGGTCGCTGCAGCACCACTGCAGCAGAAGAGGGGCCCCCGAGTACACAAAGAAGCAGCAAAAAGAAATAATAAACCCTCTGTCTAAATAAAAGCCTGATATTAAGAATAATATGCTGCTGTGGTTGCTGCGCAGTCATCGACTTTGCTGCACAAACCCCTGCGTGTTTGCTGCTGCTGCTGCTGCTGCTGCTGCTGTTGCTGCTGCTGCTGCTGCTGCAGCTGGCTGAGGCCTTGGGGGGAGTAGGGTCTCTCTGCTTTATTGCGTTGTGTGTAGATATTTAAAACTTGTGATATATTTAATTGCAGCAGCTTTTTCTTATTCTTATTCTTAACTCCCTATACACCCCAAACATACTCAGGTGTATATACACCTCCCCCTGGGGCCCCCTTGTTGCTGCTGCTCAGCTTTCTTTGTCTTTTCTTCTCTTTTCTTTTGCTAATATTATGTCGGCCTCAACACACAATAAAACAAACAAAGACGGGGCCTTTAAGGTCCTTCTGTACATCCCTAATATCATCGGTAGGCCCCTCAAACCCTAAACCCTAAACCCTTAGCCTCAGATCCTAAACCCTAAACCCTAAGCCTTATATCATAAATACACACACACAGACATACAGTAAAAACCCGCTGAGGGCCCCCAGCTGTACCCTCTACTTACAAGGCGCAGCGAAGGGGGCCCCCAAGCGAACGGGGCCCCTAAAAGAAGCGCCTCAGGGGGGCCCCCTGGGGCCCCTCAAACGCCCGCTGGGGCCCCCTAAGGCTCCTGGGGGGCCTTGGAGGCTCTCGGGGGCCCCCAAAGGCACTTTGGGAGGCCTTCTAGGGTCCGGGGGGCCCCTAGAGGGGCCCCCAGAGGCTCCTGGGGGCCCCCCTGTGACCCACAGGAGGCTACAGGGGCCCCCTGGGGGCCCCCAAGAGGCCCCTAGGGGGGCCCCCTGGGGAACCCCAGAGGCCCCTGGGGGCCCCCAAGAAGCCCCAAGGGGGGCCCCCCGTTTGTTTGTTTGTTTGTTTGTTTGCTTTTTTGGTTGTTTGCTGATTTGTTTATTTGTTTATTTATTTGTTTATTTATGTTTATTTATTTATTTTTACAGTTATTTCTATTTGTTTATTTGCTTGTTTTCTCAGGCTATGTGCGGCTGGTGCTGCTGCTTGCTGCTGCTGCATGCAGCTGCAAGTGGGGGTCGCTCTGCTGCTATGGTTTGTCGCAGCTGCTCGATGCAGCAGACGGACATGCAGCGAGGAGACTGAAGCAAGGTACCTCTAAACCCTAAACCCTAAACCCTAGCTCTTAAAGGTTTCTTCTGTAAACCCTAAACCCTAGCTCTTAAGGCTTTCGTCTATAAACCCTAAACCCTCCGCCTGCTGGGGCCCCACACGACTCTCTAGCTGCTAGTACTACCGCTGCAGCGTAGCTGCATATACACCCCAGCAGCAGCACATGCAACCCCAGCATCGCCTGCATCGAAAGCACCTGCAGCAGCAACAGCAGCAGCAGCAGAACCTGCAGGAACTGCTTGTTTAGGGTTTGTTGATATTAATGTTGCATTTCTTGTATGTTGCTGCTGCTGTTGCTGTTGCTGCTGCTGCTGCTGCTGCTGCTGCATGCAGTGTCTGTATTTGGGGCTTGTTTAGATCAACTGCTGGACCGTCTTTCTACATGTCTCCTTTATCTTAGCAATGCAGCAAATTACCCTCAGTACTCGTGGGGTGAGGCACAGCACAAATTGCTGCTGCTGCTGCTGCTGCTACTGCTGCTGCTGTTGCTGCTGCTACTGCTGCTGCTACTGCTGCTGCTGCTATTGTTGGTGCTGTTGTTACTCCTGTTGCTGCTGCAGTTGCTGCAAACAGAAAAAAAACTTATTATTATAATAAACAAATAGATAAAATAAATTAAATAAATAAACGACGAATAAATAAATAAATAATACTTGTATTTGTATCTCTCTGTGTCTGTGCATGCAGCGTTTTTCTTGCTGCTGCTGACAGATATGGGGGGTCATTGGCTGCACTTCTTTGCTGCTGCAGCAGCAGGCTCATCTTCTCATAAGAAAGTAGAAGGGGCTCCTCTCTTGCTGCAGCATTATTATACAAGCAAAAGTATTAATTATTATGCATGCAGCAGCAATATTTATCTCTATGAAATATATATGTCTCCTTCCTTCTTCTGTATATACGCTATCTCCTTTTGTCTCCTTCTGTCTCTGTCTGTCTTTATCTGTCTCTGTCTGTCTTTATCTGTCTCCTTCTGTCTCCTTCTCCTTCTTTTTTGTCTTTTTATTTATTTTCTTGTGTCTCCTTTTGTCTCCTTCTGTCTCTGTCTGTCTTTATTTGTCTCTGTCTCCGTTTGTCTTCATCTGTCTCCTGCTTCTCTCTGTCTCTACTTGTCTCTATTTGTCTCTTTCTGTCTCCTATTGCTGCTGCTCTGGTGCCTGCGGCATGTGTCCCTTTTTAGCAGCAGCAGCAACAGCAGGAGCAGCAGCAGCAGCAGCGGCAGCAGCTTCAGAGAGAGAGGTAACGCTATTGAAATGTCTTTTCTTTGTCTCTTGCTGCTGCTTCTGCTGCTGCTGCTGCTGCAGTGCTGATGCTGCTGTCTATTATCTCCTACGAAGGTCTCTTCATTTCTCTTCTTCTTGCAGCAGGCTCACTCCCAGGCTCCTTCACCTACAAAGCAGGTTAGGGTTTAGGGTTTAGGGTTTAGGGTTTAGGGTTTAGGGTTTAGATGGTAGAGTCGGGTGTTTGTTGTATGGGCCTAAAGATCTAAAGCTAAGACCTTCGACAACGATGACTTCCACTTGCTGTTGCTGCTGCTGTTACTGCTGCTGCTGCTGCTGCTGCTGCTGCTGCTGCTGCTGCTGCTGTTTGTGTGCAGCAAGTGCAGGCGCCCTGGCGTGTCTTCCGCTGGCTGCATTTAAGGCTGTAAGTGTTTTTATCTGTTTATTTTTATTTTATTTTTATTTTATCTTTTGTTTATTCTTACTTTATTTTGTTGCTGCTCGCTGTGCTGCTGCATTTGTTTGTTTTATTATACTGTCTCTATTTATTAAATCTACTGTCTCCTCTTTAATTATTAATTTACTCTGCTTTCTTTATTTGTTTATAATACTGTCTCTATTTATTTATTATACTGTCTCTCATTTATTTATTAATTTATTTTGCTGTCTGTCTCTCATTTATTTATTAATTTATTTTGCTGTCTCTATTTATTAACTTATTATGCTGTCTCTTCTTTATTTATTAATTTATTTTGCTGTCTCTTCTTTATTTGTTTATTTTGCTGCTGCTGCAGCTAACAAATGTACTGCAGGGTTACTACGGGGCGCTGCGTTTAGCGTCTCTGTCTCCTGCTGCTTCTTCTTGAGCATCTGTTTAATTTACAAAGCAGCTTTACTTTTACTTCTTCTTCGTTTTATTATACAGAGATAAAGAGCTCAACACGCTATTAATTTTGCTGCAGCTGCAGCTGCCTTTGCTGCTGCTGCAGCGTTTTTTGCTGCTGCAGCAGCTCCCTTTTGCTGCTGCTGCAGTCCCCATTAGCTGCTGCTGCACCTTCCTTTGCTGCTGCAGCAGTCTCTACAAGTACAGATTAAACATAATAATTTGTTTTATTATCATACTCTTAACATTATTACTTAAGGGATATTTTCAGGTGTATGTACACCAGAAAAAGATAAAAATAATTAATGCAGAAGACATATATACACGCCCCTGCTCCTCTTCGCTTATCCTACTACTAATATATATAATATATATATATATATATATATATATATATA